AAATCGGGGCTGGGAATTTGACCTTTTGCGTGATGGCTGAGTCGGGCGGCGACTATGGAGGCGTCTGGAGCCGGTGTCCTACCTGGGACGGCTCCCCTCTGACATGGCGGGCCTTTAAGAGGGAAATGTCCTGGTGGATAAGCTCCTTGGACCTGGAATCCACCCGGAAGTTCAATTTGGCGGCCCGCTTCCTCATGCGACAAAGCGGCACCGTGAAGCAGCGGGGGGAAGAGTTTTCTCCCGAAGAACTGGAATACCAGAAAGCGGTGACCGCCCCGGATCCGGAGACCGGCGAGGAGGTGACCATCATCGAGGAGGACCTCTTGGCTGGCTTAAATAAACTTCTGCAGGCGTTGGAGAACTTGAATGGACAGTCGGTCTTAGACAGGAGGGGCGAACTGAGGACGCAATTCTATCTCCACATGGCCAGGCGGCCTGGCGAGAGGGTTGCGGATTATGCCACCCGGTTCCGTACGGTGATCTCCGACATGAAGACCGAGGGCGTGAAGCTTCCTGACTCCGAGGTGGGCTGGTTTTTTAAGGAGAAGCTTGGGCTCGACGCTTTGCGGCGCCAGCTCTTGGATACCGCGCTTCAGGGTGCCGAAGCCTACGGCACCATTGAAGGAGAGTGCCTGCGGCTTTTCCGTGATCTGCACCTGCAGGACCCGCTCTTCCGCAGGATGGAGAAAGGCAGCGGCCGCATGACGATCAAGCGGATCTTCGGCGGCACTGCTCCTTCTTCGGCCGCTACCTCGGCTCCCTCTACGGCGTCTTCCCGGCGATCCTCGACTATGATTTCGGCTGGGTCGGCGGCTTCTTCGCGAAGGTTTGCTCCGAGACAGGTGCAGGCCGCTGAGGCCGAAAGTCAGGAGACCCTGGAGGCTGTCATGGACGAGGCGGGCGGTGATGAACCAGAGACCGAAGAGCAGGCCGGCGACAGCCCGTCCTTGGAAGAGGTTCTTCAGACTGAGGTGCAGTGCTTGGCGGACGAGATCGCCCAGGCCGAAGAGGAAGGAATCGACCCGGCCTTTTGCGAGGCCCTGGAAACGGAGATTGAGGCGTCGGCGGAGGCTCTGGTCAGCATGCGCGAGGCCAGGGTGAAGCTGGCCGAGGTCCGAAAAGACCGTGGCTATAAGGGGCCCTCCGTTGGCAACTCTTCGGCTACCTCCGGAAAGGGACGAGGCAAGGCGGCGATCGCGGCAAAGAAGGCCTCGGGCAAACACCTTTGTTTCGACTGCGGACTGCCTGGGCATTGGAGCGGGGACCCGGAATGTACCAAGCCGGGCGCAGGGCTTGGCCGTGCAAAGAGCAAGGCTGCGCCTAAGCAAGTTCGCGTGGCCGAGGCGGAGACGACTGCCCACGCCGTTGCCGAGGTCGAGGCCCTTACCGGCAAGGCGGAGAATGAGGTGCACATGGTGATGTCGCTCTCGGCGGCCCTGCGGTCCTCGACGGCGACTTCGGCTTCGGAGGCTCTGGCGGCCAATGTGCTTTCACAGGACAAGGCCCTGGTCGGTGCTCTGGATTCAGCCTGTAACAGGACTTGTGCTGGAGAAGATTGGGTTCTGGGCTACCTCGAGGAGCTTAAGAAGGCCCCGGACGAGGTTCGCAACCTGGTTCTCTCGGTCGAGGAGCGAGAGAGCTTCAAGTTCGGGAACGGGGCCACTCTTCCGAGTGGTGTTCGTTACCGTCTCCCTGCCGTCATCGCCGGGAACCTCGTTGGCATATGGGTGTCCTGTGTGCCAGTGGCTTCGTTGGGCCTTTTGCTGGGGCGTGATCTTCTTGACGGCCTGGGGGGCGTACTTGACTTCGGGCAGAAGACCCTTCGGTGCAAGCTTTTTGCAGGCCGGCCACCCGTGCCTTTGGAGCGCCTCGTGGCTGGACACCTGGCCCTTGGACTCATACCGGATGTGTGGCCCGCTGTGACTCGAGGCCGCTGGCGAAAATTGGGTCCCGGGGGTGTGCTCGAGTGTAACATTGGCTGTTCTGCGTGGGCTGCTCATTTGCTTCAAGCTGCCCCTCAACAAACAGAAGACGAGCCCCACAACCACAACCTGACAGAAGCCAGCCTGGAACTTGGAATGATGGCTTTTCGTGCTGTTCTTTGCACCTCGGCCCAAAACTCTGAGATGACTTTTGATCCGGAGCCCCCGCCTACGTTATGCACCACGACCTCTCCGGAGGAACATGGCGAGACCTTCGGCTGCGCCCTTCATGAGGATGGACCCTCGAGCACCGCAAGCCCTGGATCCCGACCTACGAGTCGGCGGCAGGTGGCGACGGATGGTGCTACGGGCCCTTGTGCGTTTCGACTGGAGCCGCGAAGGTGTGCGCCTTTGGTGCGTAAAGCATCCCGAGCTGCGCTGGTTGCCCTTTCCTTATCCCTCGGTGTCCTCAGTGGAGCAGTGGAAGCTGCAGGTGGATGGGATGGTGGCCAGCGCCTGTTTTCCTCGGCGATGGGTGGGCCGAGGCCTTTTCAATTCGACGACGTTGGCTTCAATGACTTGGCTGCGCAGCCGTGTGGGACTCAAGTTCGCCTTCCTCGAGGACCCCGTGCTCAGTGGGATGTTGGCGGCCAAGAACATGCCAGGCCGCATGACGCGCATCAAGAACGCGGCCCTCAAGGAGGAGGCGGCTACGCTCGCCAAAGAAGCCGATCGGTTGCAAGTGGCTCGGGCACTGGTCGGGCCCAAGGGCGGGATGCCCACGCTCAAGGGCGACCTGGTGAAGTTGGCGGCCCTGCTGCACACCCCGGTGGGCGACAAGGACACGATCAAGGACATTCGGAACAAGCTTCGGCCGATCGTGAACGACCTGTGCAACAAGGTGCCGATGCCCTCGACAACATCTTCAGCGAGCTCTGCCGAGCACTTTGTCTTGACAAGCCCCCCGACTTCGGCAGTGGAGGCACGACCCTCGACTTTGACCTCGTTCGGAAGTATGTCACCTGGGCCCTCGGCGCCTTCGGCAAGGACGCCTACTACAACAACGCCGGCCGCCGACCTGAACACTTTGAATGCCTCCACCTTGAATGCCCACCTGATGCAGGTCATGGACCAGAGGTTCCAGGAGCTCGGAGTGCGTCACGAGGCGATGTTCGCGCAGGTGCTTCAGCATGTCATGCAGCTACGCATGAACCCGCAGCCCGAAGCCCCGGATCAGGACATGGACGGTTGGTCGTTGACTCAAGAACCTCCCCCCGATCCTCGGCTGGAACAACCTGGGTGCCTGGAGCTCAACATCGGCCTTTGAAGACTGGTGTGAAACAGCAGATCCACCAGGCCTGGGACAAACACCGGCGCGAGCAACTTCTCATTTCATGTTCCCCCAAAAGAGTGGCAGATGTAATGGCGGCTGAGCGCTTGGGCGCTT